TTTTTTTTTTTTTGGGGGGGGTACTGGGATCAAACTCAGGACCTTGTGCTTGCCAGGCAGTTGTGGTGCCACTGAACCAAATCCCTGGCTGGAATAAATGTTTCTTTTAAAAGGTATGATCTCAGTGCATATAAAACAGAGAGTTCCTAAGGGATTACCCAAGAAGAGAAGCCTTGCCCCAGTGGACTGACAATTCATTTGTACAGGGATTCTGGGAATCTAGCTCAAAGAAATGTACAAACATGAGCAGCACATTGGGTGACTACCTGGTTACAGATGTAGATGATGGGATAGTCATTCAGCTGCAGGTGGTTTATCATTAGCTAGTGAAGATGCATTTCACTGGACTGATAGATTCAACACAGCCAAGACAGCTTCTTTTCTAATATTAATTAAGCAGCCAACAAAGCGATCCATACTAAATATAGAAAACAAAATTGTCTAATCATAAAATCCTCTTTCGTGAGGGTCTTTATAATGTGTGATCAAAAATAAAGTACATGCTGCTGCCAAGTGCCATCCACCAGAACGGTGGGCTCATAAAAGTATTAGTGTGTTCTTATCCAACTTAGTCAGCATGAGACGTGGTGGCGCATTCTCATAATCCCAGCACTTGGAAAGCTGAGACAGAAGGACTGCTGTGAATTCAAGGTCCACCTAAGCTACACAGTTCAAGACCAGCCTAAACTACATAGCAAGACCCTGTTTCGAAAAAACAAAACATAAAAGGTTTATTTTGGCTCACAGTTTTGGAAGTTCCAGTCTGACATTGTTTGGGATTGTGGCAAGGCAGCACATCATGGCAGGAGTGCATGGGGAGCCTACTTGTTCACTTCACAGCTGGGACAGGAGAAATAAACACAGCCCCTCTTCTTGGCATCCCACAGATCCCTTCAAGGGCGTGTCTCCAGTGACCTATAGACCTTCCACCAGGACACACCTGTTACAGTTTCTGCCACCTCCCAATAGTCCTGGGCTGGGAACCGAGCTTTTAACACATTGTCCTTTAGGGGACATTCTAGATACAAACTGTAGCACTACTTATCCCAGTAATGCTATTTATGACTTGAATTTGGTTGTGTATTCAGCCTAGGATGCATTGCATTTTTTTCTTTTTCTAGATTCTCATCTAGAATTCCACAGCCTTGTTTTGTACTCAGCCTTTGACTTGTACTCAGATTTTCAAGGTGTATCACATTCCATTTTCTGTTGTGTTTATACCACAGTTTATTAATTCATCAGTTGATCTATATCTGATCAGTTCCCATGAATTTGGCTTTTTTGAATTATACAGGATTTTTTTTTAAACCTAGTTTTAATGTCTATTGATTTTTGCTTGAACCAGTTACTACTGTGATGATTATAATGTGAAGAAGATTTTTCTTCATTGTCACTAATATTGTTAGATGGAAATCTGCTATGAAGAAGACTTAAAAGAGCTAGGGTATAGTTCTCATGTCTGGTATTAATTTCAGTATGGATGTGGGTTTTTTATTCTATGTTGAATAATTCATTCTTGTTATTATTGATGATGATTCTCAGATTTTGCCAAGATTGCCCAATGGGATTCTTACATTGGTCCTTCTTTCATTCCACATGTGGCTGCAGTTGAAATGTTAGTTTGTTTTTTGATTGTACAATTTTTTTTTTTTTTTTTTTTTTTTTTGGTACCGGGGATTGAACTCGGGTCCTTGTGCTTGCAAGGCAGGCCACCGAACTGCTGAGCTAAATCCGCAGCCCCTAGTGTGTTTTTTGAGACAGGGTCTTACTACATAGTTCAGATTGGCTGTGAACTGACTGTGTGGCCCAGGCTGGCCTTGAACGCGTGACAGTCCCCCTGCCTCAGCTTCCCAAGTGCTGAGGTTACAGGTGTGCACCAACCCACCTGGGAATAAACCTTTGTGTGTATTGCTTTGATTCGTATCCTACTCTTTTTTTTTGGTACCAGGGATCGAACTTGGGACCTTACACTTGGCAGATGGCGGAACCACTGAGCTAAATCCCCATCCCGTCCTACTGTTTTCTTTTTTGTGGTTTTATTTTTGTCATTTTGCTTCTAAATTTGCCATGCTGTTGGAATCTGGCTTATCAAGCCTCAAGTGTAGCCTAGGTTACAGGTGGCTAGATGGGAGTTGTTGTCCTAGAGTGGGGATGGCCCTAGCTGAGGAGCAGAATGTGATGAACATCCCAGTAGTTTCCTGGTAGACAGCTAAGATTGTGCATGTTTTCTTATATGGAGCTAGTTTTGTTTGTTTTGTTTGTGGTACCAGGGATTGATCTCAGGACCTTGTGCTTCCGAGGCAGGTACAGCGCCACTGAGCTAAATCCTCAGTCCTTGAAGCTAGTTTTGAGCTAAGTGAAGCAAGTCTTTATTTAGGGGAATTAAATAGTGATCTTTTAGAGTAGGAAGGCTTCGAGATGAAATTTCCCCCTTCCATTATATCCTTGGCTTGGATATTTCCCTCGGAAAACTCCTGTTGCATTGCACACTGGTCATTCATTCTGTACTCTGAATTTCAGGCCAAGTCCTGCGTCTGCCATGTGTGTGGTGTCCACCTGAACCGGCTACACTCTTGTCTCTACTGTGTCTTCTTTGGCTGCTTCACAAAGAAGCACATCCATGAGCATGCCAAGACAAAGCGGCACAACCTGGGTATGTTTTTTTCACATTCTCTAAAGATTTTTTTCTCATTCCTTAAACAATACTGTGCTTTCCTTGCCTTGTAATGAATATCAAACCCTTATCTTTCCCTTTGAGACACGCAGTCAGGAACTAGATCAGGCAGATTTGCAAAGAGAGACCTTATGTGCCATACAGTTGGCCTTGTGGTTGCACATATGTGCATTCAGCCAATCTCAGATCAGATATACTCAGGACAAAACATTATGTCTATATTGAACAGTACATACTTTTTTCTCATTCCCTAAACCAAACAGCTGTTTACATAACATTAACATTGTATTAAATATTTAATCTAGAAATAAAGAGTATGGGAGGATATGAACAGATTATATACAAATGTCATTTTATGTAAGATATGTACATCTACAGATTTTGGTATTTATGGGGAATTCTGGGACCAGTCTATCCACCCCATAATGAAAGATACCTGTATTACATCATTGACATCCACATGAAGTTGAGTGTATATAGATGATTTTTACTGATTTCAACAAAATTTTTTCATTGTTTCCAAAAACATGAAAAGCTAGCTTAACATTATATGACATCAAGGCAGATTTACCTTTCATATACTTAAAAGTTCAAACTCCTCCTCACTTCTCAAGTTATATAAAACTTAAGCTTATTCTTGTTTTATTTCTGTGGTCCTTAAGTAATAGCACACTCCATTAAATGTTCATGAGATCTTCAGATGTCCGTCAGAAAATCATGTTCAGAGGGTCCAAGCCAGAAAATCTGGTTTGAAAAATACTTCATGTGGGACTAGCAATTCCACTAAAAGGTAAATTTAGACCTCCTTTCCTAAGATTGTGTATTCTGATGCCCTCCGGAAAATACTAGCCTAAAAAGTCCTAATCAAAAGCAGTATTGCACAAGTTTGTAAAGGTGCAAAAGAATCCATGTCTCTTAAAAAGCATACAGTGCCCACCATAAAGGATAGACCACAGCTTGAGCCACACCGTAACACTTTCAGTATAGTGTTCTCATCATTTGTTTTAAAGAAGTAAGGAGATATAGGTGTCTGCCTTATGTGAGGTGTTCGTGAGCCAGCTGTGATGACACACACATGGGGCTGTCAGCTCAGTGTCATACCTTTGCAACAGCTACAATTGTAAAAGAAACACTGCTTAATTTCTAGGTGTCTTGGTTCTAGGTTATATTGAAGAGTAAGAAAATTCAAAAAATCTATTTTTCTTTTTTTTATAGTTTACCTCAATTTTTGTGAGCTTTTTTCATAGTAGAGAATAATGGACCTAGCTCAGTGGCAACTAATAATAGCAATTGTTTGCAAAAAGATTGCTTGGAATTGAGGACTCAGGTTGTAACAGTGAGCTAACCAGCCTGTTTAGGAGAGCCAGTGGTATGTAGGGTTCTCCTCAGCTGCAGATCCAAAGAGAGGAACTAAGTTAGTGATGACTTTTTGCATTGAAGGGGCTGCCTTTTTTTTTTTTTTGTACCAGAGATTGAACTCAGGTCCTTCTTGTGAGGCAGGCCACGGAACCACTGAACTTAAATCCCTGGCCCAGTGACTTTTTACATTGAGAAACTAAAGGAAAAGGATGCTGATCAAGTCAATGTGGATGTGATCGAATTCTTTGGGATGTACTTTTAATAATATAAATGAAGAATCTTCCTGCCATTTGAATCTCAAACTAATTTAGGGTATTAGCATACCTGATTATTGATTTAGTGTGATTAAAAGAACTATAGAAAATTGGAGATATATTTGAGCTTAAAGTTTTCTGGAGAATTTTTCTATTACCCACATCATCTGTAAAAATTGCATGAGAAATTTGTGGTATTCATTTTAGCAATCTGTATAATAAACTCTGTCCTTGCCCTTGCACTAGAATGAGTAAATTTTTATAAAGATTGCTGTAAGAAAGAAAACCATGAAATTGGAGAAAGATCCAACCTTGTGCTGTTAGTCCATGAAGGTTATATGTGCATGTGTTGAAACTAAAAATTAGTTTTATGCTTCCTTTATGACAGAATGTATAAACTAAGCAGTCCCACATCTTTGAATTGACCAGCCTCATTCTGTATAAGGAACAAGCAGCCTTGATTACCTTGTGACCAAGTCTGACATCCTCGGAAAAATCCAGTAATACCATAAAGTACAGCCTGAAGCAGGTCATTAGAAAGCAATACTTTGCATTCCTCAGGTGGACATCCAGTTTTAATTGGAGCAGCCTGAGAGACAGACCTATAGTGAATCATGACTGAATACTGTAGCAATGCTCCTATAATAAAATGTTAGTAACCATAGGGCTATTGTTTGTGGTCTTAGGAAGGACAATGTGTGGGACAGTAAGAGCCAGGTCCAAGGTTCCACTTTCTCTGTCCAATTGCCCTGCAAAATTGCTTTAAGATAATGTGATAAAACACAAAAAGAACTCACTCTACCTTAGTGTAGTCTTTCATACCTGCTGACATCATCTGTAATGGTGGGTACACTACGGAACTTTGGAATTCAGGCAGAAGGCTGTGTAAAAACATGGAGGTGAAGAGGGTAACAACTCAGAGTGGATTGACTACACACTATTTAGTTTCAAGTAGGTTTTTGTTCCATGTTGAGTCATAAAGGCATGTATGAGCCATGAAGGACTGGCTTTTTAAATTTTTAACCTTTAACTTTCTGCATCTTGCAAGTTATTTCAGTTGTCCAAAAAGGAAAACAAGTATGTCGGGGGAGGGTTGATTTGTTCTGAGTTGGTGGTGTCCCCTCCATCTTCAAGGATATCCTGGGACCTGCTGAAGCAAGGTGCCTGTGTTGCCAACTGGTTTAGAAATTCCCAAGTGATTTAAAAAAAAAAAAAGAAAAAGAAAAGAAATTCCCATGATGTATAAAAGCAAGCAGACATCATCTCTGTACAGGAGAGGCCAGCAGTGCTGTGCCTGCCTTCTGCATTTGTGGATAAGGTTTTATACCCATTTTAGGCAGCTATATTGCTGTGCTTTAGCCTTTTACCTTGGCACTATCAAGGCTTTGACCTTAGAATAGTTTTGGTTGTGAAATAACTTTTCTAAAGGAACTATCTTGACTGTAGGTATTGCTTTGGGGTTTTCAGTTTTTAATTTTATATTGGAGTGAATTCACACAGCATACAGTTAACCACTTTAAAGTGTGCACTTCAGTTGCATTTAGTACATTTTCAGTTTTCTGTAACCATCATTTCTCTAGCTCAAAACATCTTCACTCCTCAGAACACCCCATGTCCATTAAGTAAGTCATTGAGTTGCTTGGCTAAAACTTGTGATTCTCTTGCCTCAGCCTCCCAGAGTGCTAGGATTGCAGATGTGTGCCACTTCTCCTAGTTCAGTGTGTATTCTGTACTCTGTTCTCTTGTCCCCTACATGTCTGATGATGCTGTGTGAGTTAAACACCCCCAATCCTTTTTTTTTTTTAATTGTTGAATTAGGAGAGTACTTTTCTTCCAGGTGCTCAAAGGACTTTATCTTCAGGTTAAAATAATTAAGAGCTCATGTACTAGTCCTGTTTTATAGATGTTTCAGTTGAGGAAGTGCACTGATGGGTAGCAGGCAGCTCTGGGCCAAGAAGTCAGGGGTGTCTAGGTAGAAACAATTTTATCTCTATCCTTAGAATATGAGGAGCTAATAACCCCAAGCAACAAAAGTAGCAGTAAGTTGCTGTAGCCTTCCTTTTTGTGATAGTGTTAGGAATTCCAGATATAGTAAAGCATTGTTACCCTGGACTCTTTATGAACTGAAAATATTTAATACTCATGTTTTAAATATCATACTGTTAGAAAACTTGACTTATATGTTTAACCGAGTCCTGAAGCATTGCTGCTTTGTATGAATTAAATTTTCTGTCTCTACCCTCCTTTCTTTGCAGCCATTGACCTCACATATGGAGGTATATATTGCTTTTTGTGTCAGGACTACATCTACGACAAAGATATGGAAATAATTGCCAAAGAGGAACAGCGGAAGGCTTGGAAGATTCAAGGTGGGGTTCTGCCTAAATTTACCTCCCTGATTTGTCTCATTACCCTGCAGTTCCCTCAGGTCTGTTGAGAACAGAACTTGGTCAGAAACTGGGAATACCAGAAACCAAGTGAGAGTGGGAGGGAGCAGGTACATCTGCACAGGTCAGGTCACCACTGGTGGAAGAGACATAGAGGTATCACCTGGGCATAGAGGTGGGGGTGGTGGGCCACGCAGGTGCCCAAAGCCCTGCCTTGAGGGGCTCTGCTGAAGTCAAGAAGAGTGCACTCTAGAAGGAGATGCTCTTCAATTAAGGGCATGTTTGCCGGCTGGAGCTGCAGCCCCAGCAAGGTCACATTTCTGTCTTATCTTGGAGGTGGTTGCTGCAACCCCAGACATCCCCAAAGAATGATTCGGCCTCAGTACCACAGTGTTCCAGAAAGCATTCTTTCTAATGTAATTAAAGATAAATGTATCTTGTTCTTCCAGTAGTGTAGACTATTTCACCAATTGAATTGTAGAATCTTGTAAAGTTATGAACCATTTAGGTGATTGCTAAATCTGTCTGCAGAGTAACATGGCCAGATGGGAAGTGAAGCGGCCCAGCACTCACTCAGCCTGCTCTCCTGACAGGTGCTTTGTGGCTCGAGTACCCCTCTGGGCTGTCCACTTGCTCCCTTCCCTGTCCTCATGTATTGTATTAGCTGTATAGAGTCCGAGGTACACCAGCATTGTGCAGCCATGTTCTTTTTATTTCTTCTTGGTCTCCCTTGGTTTCTTCATTTTCAGTCCCTACAGAAGCTTACAGTGGTCTGGAATAAGGATGCTGGGTGTAGTCAGCCCTAGTAGTTGGGTGAACACCTCCTCTCAAGCAGTAAGACCTGTCACTGTGTGCATAGGGAGCGCATAAAGCTGGCCCCTGCCTTACACGTTCTTGCCTTATTTTGCATTGAAAATGCCCTCATTTTTGAAAATGAAGAGTAGAAACAGGTGCTGTTGGTGATCAGAATTATTTCATGTTTAGCAGATCATTTCTGGAAACAGTCTCCAACTTGTATTTCCTGTTGTGTTCCCCCTAAAAAATGTAATAACATTATAACTCCGTATGTATATATTATATTTATATGTGTGTGTATGTTTATGCATATGCATGTATTTCTTTGTGCAGGACACTTAAATTATGAGACCACTTAAATTATGGGTTCAAGAAATGCACATCCCAGACTAAAATAGAATTCCTCTAAGGTCATTCTTCAATTCCACCTGCCCATAAGATACTACTTCTTAAAGTGTATTGAATTATGCAGACATTTTAGGCACCATAGGTGAAGTACCTCTGAGTGAATAGGGTGTTTATTAGGAGAAAATGATTCTTATGCGCATTTACACCACTACTACTGTCTTCTGCTTCAGTTCTGTTTTTTTTTGGGTACTGGGGATCGAACTCGGGTCCTTGCACTTGCAAGGCAGGTGGCGAAACCACTGAGCTAAATCCCCAGCCCTGTGTCTGTTTAGTTTGCTCAAAACTATGCTTCCTGTCAGTTTCACTCATTAGCTGGAAAATCCTTCATCTAAGTTTCTGCTGAGTAGCTGCAATCTCTGTATTGTACTCAGGGATTGAAGGCATTTGGGAAAAAAGTTTTTTTGCATTAGTGTTGGGGATGGCTTTCATGGGTAGTGGTTTCATTGTGATGGGAAATGTGGTGTATTCTTAAGACACTTGTCAAGAGAAGCTCCTTTAAATGATCTGATTACCTGTCTGTACAGTAGCATGTTAGAAAGCCTTGATGTTTTGAAGACCCTCTGAAACACAGCTTGATAAATCCTATATAACAACTTTTGTTTTATAATGCTCTGTAAAGGAAAATTTAGCTAGTAACACCTCTATCTATTTAGGTGTTGGAGAGAAGTTTTCAACTTGGGAACCAACCAAGAGGGAGCTGGAACTGCTGAAACACAACCCAAAAAGGAGGAAGATCACTTCCAACTGTACCATAGGTGAGTAGAGGACATTATAGAGTTCTGTTTTTTTTTTTTCACACTGTTGTGCTTCTTTCTTAGGGCTTTACAATACAACACAATTCTTTTTAATCCCAGCCAAAATGCATGCCATTATCAATTTGCTCAACATCCAGGTCTGAGCACCTGTTCTCTACAAGGACTGCCATTGGCTTGGGGTACAGAGGGATGAGCAGAGACTGTCCCTGCCTTGTGGCCCTGAGAGTCTACAAGTGTCACAGGACTTAAGTGCATTCTTTTGGGGGGGTGGTACCGGGGATCAAACTCCTCGGGTCCTTGTGCTCGCAAGGCAGGCTGCGGCACCACTGAGCTAAAGCCCCAGCCCCTTATGTTCATTTTTAGTCTGGCCAGGTTGATCTTGGGGAGAGAAATGATGTGTCTGGATGTGAGGGTATTTTCACATTGTTCTAAGAAATGAAGAAATGCATTTTAGAATATATAAAAAAGTATTTTGGGTTAAGGCTCTATTCTGACCTGGCTGTCTTTATAGAAAATACATACAATGGCCAAATGAGAGAGGAATGACGGCAGTAAACATTCCTCAATACAGTTCATATAAAAATGGTAAAAAAGTTAGAAAATACTCTGGCAGGCTGAGACAGTTACGTTTGAGTCTATTCTGTGTAACTTAGCAAGACCCTATCTCAAAATTAAAAGGGCTGAGGATATAGCTTAGTGTGGAGGCCCTGAGTTTGATCCCTGGTACCAGGGGGAAAATTTTTTTTTGGTACCAGGGATTGAACTTGGGACGTTACACTTGCAAATCAAGTGGTAGAACTACTGAGCTAAATCCCCAGCACAAGAGGTAGTTTTTTTAAAAATTTCCCCCCTGGGCCGAGGGGTTAGCAGGTTCTGCCACCTGCTTCAAAGCACAAGGTCCATAGTTCTATCCCCAGTACCAAAACTAAAAAACTACCTCTCTTCTTGCTCTTTCTTTGATTCATGAATGCGTGAATAAAAGAAAATGACCATACTGCACAGACCAGCATTATGTGTCATCTCTCAGTTCACAAGTAACACCTGCTCTCTGGCTTCCTGCCCAGGTCTTCGAGGGCTGATAAACCTTGGAAACACATGCTTCATGAACTGCATTGTCCAGGCTCTAACCCACACACCGCTCCTTAGGGATTTCTTCCTGTCTGACAGGCACCGCTGTGAGATGCAGAGCCCCAGCTCCTGCCTGGTGTGTGAGATGTCCTCGCTTTTTCAGGAGGTGAGCACCACTCGCCTCTGCCATGGAATGCTTCTTTCTACCTTTTTAAAAAGCATACAATGACCATAATCAGGGCAGGCAAATTTCCACAATCTACGTAGAGAATAAATATTTAAAATGTGCAGTTATTACGAAAGACACAGTTTTCTCAAAAGGAAGTGCTAGATAAGGGGAGTTTGGCTTGATTTTTGGAGGCACACGGCCCACCCAAGAGGAGAAGAAACTCTTCAGAGCAGCTCAGCAGAGTCAACTGGTAGAAGACATTAGTTCCCGTAAACACTGGTGATTTCACACTTCTCTTGTCTGCCACACTAGAACTCAGGGAGGCATAGGCCTCTTTCTTGCTTCAATCCCAAGGAAGGTGGGTCTCCTCCATTACCGATCCTTTCCAAGGATGTTGTCTGAAAGACTTGTGTTTCTGAGTAGTACCTGTCATGTGGTGGACCGCAATATAATTGGCCACTTCTCAGCTCAGGGTGGTTTGGAGTTTTGGCATTGAAAAATAAAACCATAGTACTTGCTTGTATGCAGATTTTACGTGAAAATTAGCATTTCTGTTCATCTTCTGACTCCATTTATTTAGGTCTTTAATTTCTCTCTCCAGTGCTTTCATTGTGTAGCTCTTGCACATATTCTGTGACCTCAGAGTATCTCATGTGTTTGGTATTGCAATAAATAGCATGATTTTTAGTTTCAGTTTCTAATTGTTTATTGCTAGTACATGTTGAGTGCCCCCAATCTGAGAATCAAAAATGCTCCAAAATCCAGACTTCTTGAGTGTCAGCAGTGTGCCACAACTGAAAAATTCTATCCTTGACCTGTGATGCTGGTTCAGTGTACACAAACTTTTATTTTCATGCACAGAATCATTAAAATATTAATGAAATTACTTGCAAGCTATACTGAGTTTTTGTTTAGACAAGTCCTGCCCTAATTATTATATATAATGTTTTATATATATATATACACACACACACACACACACACACACACACACACACACACACACACACACACACACACACACACACACACACACACACACACACACACACATATTCTCT